TGTCGCCCAGCCCCCACTGCCTATAAGCTGCACCAAGGGGGCCCAACTTGAATTTCAAGTTGGACCCGGGTTCACTACTCCAGCAAAACTGAGACTGGGCCCCAATTGGTTGAAATGCTAACCACGCAAATCTATGGTCGTAAATTTTGTCGCCAGTGCGAAATGTCGCAAGCGCAATTCGATTTCGTGGCCTACGGCTTGGTAAAAAACGGGGGCTGCTGCCCGCCCCTCCAAAAACATATTCACTCTTAGGTCCTTTTTAGTTGGGCCCAACTAGAAAGGGGGGCCACTATTATAGTCTCTCGCTTTAAGCATTTCTGTAAGTAGTTCCGATAGATATTATCGAGTTACACTGTAGTTAGCATCCGTAGAATGACGTCAGCAAATAACGCTCGTCTGGATGGTTACGTCAGCAGCAGGCCGTTTCAGTCACGCGAACAGTCGCGCTCTTTTCAGTAGCGATTAAAGCGCATAGCGCAAATAGTTTTGAACAGATACATTACCGAACAGGTACTTCTAGCCGATATAAAACTGGCTTGTATGACTTCAATTGTTAACTTGTTCTTGAGTAAATTCTGGTCAACACTTACAAGTTCTAAGACTTCCGTTGTCTTACTAGTCTACCATTCTAGCAAAGATCCTTGTTCAAAGTCTTGAAGTATCACAAGGCTGTAACACTGAGTCTGGTGTTACAACTTGTTAATACTGTCAAACATGTGTATTAGTTATGTTTGCATAGACTGTATAGGGTCACCTCTTAGAGGGTACAATACTTAGGTATATCTATCTGTACTCTCACACTACTCATCAATCACTTCTCTCATTCTGATATGGTATCACGCGTAGGTTAGGATCCCCCACCTACCGCTTCCGCTCGTCATCTAGCTAGGCCCTGCCGCGCCCCTCCTGGGCCCCGTCGCGACCCCCTAGCCCCGTCGCGACCCCCCTGGGCCACGTCGTGCCCCTAGCCCTGCCGCGCCCCTCCTGGGCCCCGTCGCGACCCCCTAGCCCCGTCGCGACCCCCCTGGGCCCCGTCGTGCCCCTAGCCCTGCCGCGCCCCTCCTGGGCCCCGTCGCGACCCCCTAGCCCCGTCGCGACCCCCCTGGGCCCCGTCGTGCCCCTAGCCCTGCCGCGCCCCTCCTGGGCCCCGTCGTGACCCCCTAGCCCCATCGCGACCCTCCAGGGCCCCGCTACGCCCCTCGCCCTGTAGCGCCCCTCCTGGGCCCCGTAGCGCCCCTCCTGGGCCCCGCCACGCCTGCAGGCCCCGTTGCCCCCCTGCCCGGCCCCGTCGCGCCCGCCCGGCCCCGTCGCACCTGCCCGGCCCCGTCGCACCCGCCCGGCCCCGTCGCACCCTGCCCGGCCCCGTCGCCGCCGCCCGGCCCCGTCGCACCCGTCCGGCCCCGTCGCGCCCGCCCGGCCCCGTCGCACCCGCCCGGCCCCGTCGCACCCGTCCGGCCCCGTCGCGCCCGCCCGGCCCCGTCGCACCCGCCTGGCCCCGTCGCACCTGCCCGGCCCCGTCGCACCCGCCCGGCCCCGTCGCACCCTGCCCGGCCCCGTCGCCGCCGCCAAGCCCCGTCGCACCCGTCCGGCCCCGTCGCGCCCGCCCGGCCCCGTCGCACCGGCCCGGAGCCGTCGCGCCCGCCCGGCCCCGTCGCACCCGCCCGGCCCCGTCGCGCGCGCCCGGCCCTGTCGCCCTCGCCCGGCCCTGTCGCACCGGCCCGTCCCCGTCGCACCCGCCCGGCCCCGTTGCACCGGCCCGGCCCCGTCGCACCCGCCCGGCCCCGTTGCGCCCTGCCTGGCCCCGTCGCACCTGCCCGGCCACGTCGCACCTGCCCGGCCCCGTTGCGCCCTGCCCGGCACCGCTGCGTTTGCCGGGCCCCGCTGCACCGGCCCGGCCCCTGCGCTCATCCCTGCCCCGGCCCCTTCATCCTCACTGGTACGGTTCTCCCCCCCCCCCTCCCTGCACCGTCCTGCTCCGCACTGCACTGCCCTGCACCGCACTGCACTGCACTGCACCGCCCTGCACCGCCCCGCACCGCACTGCACTGCCCTGCCCCGCACTGCACCGCCCTGCACTGCTCAGCTTTGCACTGCACCTCACTGCACCGTACTGTCCCGTCCTGCACTGCCCCTGATGGCGGCGGAGCTTCGCTTCGACGCTGAAGGCCAGCCTCTGGAGTTCGAGGCGTGGCTTGCCGACCTCCGGCGCCAACTCACTGGCCAGCGGCAGGATGGTGAACCGCTTTCCGCACACCTTGACGGTACGCTCCCCTGCCCAGACCCTCCTGCTATTCTGCCCGCTGACTCCACACCCACTGAGCGCGAGTCTACTGCTGCCACTGCCCGTGCGCGCTCTGTCTGGCTTTCTCGCGATGCTGTCGCCCAACTTGCCATTAGCAACGCCCTTCCCCCGTCCGAGCGCCCTCGCTTTAGGTCCCTCACTACTGCTCAGGCATACTTAGATGCTGTCATCAAGTGCTATTCCACCCCTCCGGCTGCCTCGGTGGATCGCCTGATCCTCCCGATGCTCTTTCCTGACCTTGCATCTTTCCCCACTCTCTCTGACCTCGCTGCCCACCTGCGCTCGATAGATGAGACCTGGCGCGCTGCCTGCACTGACGCACAGCTTAGAGCCCACCAGCCGCCCATTACCTCTACCCTTTACCTGCTTGCCACCCGCCTCCCTGACCGCCTTGCTGTCGCCCGCGACCACTTCCTTAGCATTCACCCCGCAGACCTCACCCTCACTGACTTTGTAGACACCCTGACTGTGATTGAGACCCGCCACCGCTCCATCGCCCAGGCGAGCGGTACCGTTCCGGTCCCTATCTTTCAGGGTTGTGCCCCTGCTCAGTGTACCTTCTCCGACGGCTCTGCCGCAGTGGCTGAGACCGCTACTGCAGCGCAGTTTCGTTCGGGGAAGGGCCGCCGCCCCAAAGTTGGGCGCGGCGGAGGAGGCGGGGGTGCGGGAGGGGGTGGTGGTGGAGTCGGGTCGTCTGGTGCTGGAGCGGACGAGGGGACCCTGCCCAGTCCAGCTGAGCCGCCGCCCCTGCAGTTGCAGCAGCCGCAGCAGCCGCAGCAGCCGCCGCAGTCGCTGCCTTCGCAGCAGCCGCAGCAGCCGTCGCAGACGCGGCAGATGAGTGTCCTCCCGCCCGGGTGGCCCGGCGCTGGCGGTGGCCGGGCGCGTGGTGGTGTGCCGAGTGGTGGCTCTGGACGCGTGCGTTGTCAGTACCAGATCCAGACCGGTCCTCGTCGCGGCTTCGTTTGCGGTAAGATCGGTCACTCCACTCCCCGCTGTTTTCGTTGCCTGGACGACCTCTTTTGTCAGCGCTTCGGCCCGTCGCCAGACCTTCCGGACTGGCACAGTTTGCTTAGTCGTAAGATTCAGATTTTTGTCATGGACATGGATGCCATTGTTTCTGCTCTGCATGTGATGTATGCTGATGACTCTAGTGTGCTTCCCGCTTATTACTCACTGTCGGCTAGTGTAGGTGTGCCTAGCTTAGCCTCCCCTGTTGCGTCAGGCGTAGGATCCCCTGCTTTGTGTAGTCTTGGTGCTTCCGCCGTCGTTCCGTCGCCAGACACCTCTGCTTCGCTTTCCTTCACCCTGGACTCTGGCGCTTCCCGGTGTTTCTTCCGCGACTTCACCACCCTGACGCTGCTTCCTGTTCCTGCTGCCGTTTCTCTTGCTGACCCCTCCGGCGGTCCGGTAGTCGCCCGCAGTTCCACCACCCTTCCCTGTCTGGCGGTTCCTTCAGGCACTCTCACAGGTCTGCATATCCCCTTGTTCTCCAGGAACTTAGTTGGTGTCGGCTGCCTCCAGGACCTTGGCGTCACCACTACGTTCCCTAGTCACGAGCGGTATGCTGTCTGTACCGAGGCCGCCACTGGTGCCCCCCTGTCCACGTTCCCCCGGGACCCGGTGTCCGGCCTGTTCACTCTGGACACCGTGACCCCCCATGGCTGGAGCGCTCACCCAGGTTGCTGCCGCCTGCTCCTGTCGGTCCCTCACTCACCCGACTCTCCTTTGGCACCACCGCCAAGGTCACCCTGCGCTCCCGCGTCTGCGCCACATGTCCCAGCACGGTCTTGTCCTTGGTCTCCCAGGTTCTCTCCCCGCGTTTCCCTCCTCCCCAGCCCCACCTTGCACGCCTTGTGTCGAGGGTCGGCTTCGCCGTGCCCCTCTCTCCTCCTCGTTTCCCCCTACCGCCGCGTCGCTGCAGACCCTGCACCTGGACGTCTGGGGCCCCGCCCCCGTCCCTGGGCCGCGTCGAGAGCGCTACTTCCTTGTGCTTGTCGACGACTTCACTCGTTACACCACAGTCTTTCCCCTGGAGCGCAAGGCCGACGTGCCTGGCGCTCTCATCCCCTGGCTTGTCTCTGCGCGTGTCCACCGCGGTCTCCCTGTCTTGCGTCTTCACTCCGACCGTGGTGGCGAGTTTGCCTCAGGTGTCCTTGGTCGCTTTTGTCGTGCGGAGGGCATCACCCAGACGTTCACCCTACCGGACTCCCCACAGCAGAATGGGGTCGCTGAGCGACGCATCGGTTTGGTCATGGAGGTGGCTCGCACCTCCATGATCCATGCCGGTGCACCCCATTTTCTGTGGCCGTTCGCTGTGTGCTACGCTTCTCACCAGCTTAACTTGTGGCCGCACCTTCAGCAGCCGCAAGTTTCGCCGACCCGTCGTTGGACTGGGTCTCCTGGTGACGCGTCTGCGTTCCACGTCTGGGGCTGCCTTGCTCACGTCCGTGCCTCCGGCACGGACAAGCTCACTGCCCGCACCCTTCCCTGCGTCTTCCTCGGTTTTCCTCTTGACGCGTCCGACTGGCACTTTTACCACCCGCCGTCTCACCGCTTCTTTCACTCTCGCGACGTCACATTTGACGAGTCCGTCTCCTACTACCGTCGCTTCCCCCACCGCGGTCCCCTGGTTACCCCCCCCCTGTTCCTGGTCACTCCTTCCCCGGTAGTCCCTGCCCCTCCTCCTCCTCCTCCCCGTCCTGCCACGTCTGGTGTGTCCCACGTCACCCCCCTTCCGTCGGTAGACCCGGTTGAGGAGTCTTCTGAGTTTGGTGGCCCTGCTGCGCAGTCCTCGCCGGCCGCCCCTCCCTCGGCGTCCCCTCCCCAGTCCCCTCCTCCACCGCCTCTGCCGCCGCTGCAGCCGTCGTTGTCGCTGCTGCCGCCGCCGCCGCCGCCGCCGCCGCCGCCGCCGTCCCAGCACCCGTTCGCTGACTCTGGGGGTGCTCGTCCCGGTCGCCCTGGGGGTGGTCCCTCTGGGGGTGCTGGTGTGGAGTGTGTCGGTGGTAGCCGAGGAGCAGCTTGCGGTCCAGGTGTCGTCGTTGTGCCGCCGCAGCAGCAGTCCCCGCCAGTGTCAGCCCTTCGCCTGCTCGGCCTTCCGTCCCCTGACCCTGCGGCTGTTCCTCTCCGACCGTCTCCTCCTCTTCCCGTCTACGGCCCTGTGCTCCCTCCGCCAGACTCGCCCCCAGCCCGTCTTCCCCCTCGTTCCCCTCCTGTCTCCCCTCCCCTGTCTCCTGACCCGACTCCTCCGTCGCACGTCTGGTCTCACCGTCCCTCCCGTGCTCGTCCTGCCTCGCCTGTCTTGCACTCCCACCCTATGTTGCTTCGTTCCCACGAGTCTCGTCCTCCCCTTCTGCCGTCGCCTCCTCCGTCCTCCCTTGTTGTTGCACCCCCCCTGCTGTCTGACTACCTTCGTGCCGCTCGTCCTCTTGTTCCCCGGGTCCTTGCCTCTCTCGTTACCGACCAGTCTGTTCCGGTCTCGTGCCTTGACGCTCTTGTAGCTGCAGTCGCTGACTTCGCCTCTACCCGCCGCCTTGACTACGCCACAGCTCTGGTCTCTGACCCTGCCTGTCCTCCGTCTGTCGGGGGTGCTCCTGCCCTTGGCAGTGACGTCCTGGAGGACCGCCAGTTCGAGCTTGCTTTCCTGTCCGAGGCTGCTCCCCATATCTGTTCCATGCTGCTAGTCCCTGAGGGTGACCCAGACGCTTTCGACATCCCGACCCCTCGCACTTACGCTGAGGCGACCTCGGGACCTTGGGCCTCTCAGTGGATAGCTGCCATGGAGCAGGAGATGGCATCTTGGAGATCCACCGGCACCTTCTTCGACGCAGTTCCCCCGCCTGGGGTGAACGTAGTCGATGGCCGCTGGCTCTTCAAGTTGAAGCGCCGTCCTGGAGAGCCGCCTGTGTTCAAGGCGCGCTACGTGGCTAGAGGCTTCAGTCAGCGTGAGGGGGTGGACTTCTTCCAGACCTTCACTCCGACCCCGAAGATGACTACTCTTCGGGTTCTGCTACACCTAGCTGCTCAGCGCGACTACGAGCTTCACTCCCTCGACTTCTCCACTGCCTTCCTTCAGGGCAGCCTACACGAGCAGGTCTACTTGCGTCGCCCTCAGGGCTTTACTGGCACCTTCCCTCCTGGGACCCAGTGGCTCCTGCGGTGCCCCGTCTACGGCCTGCGCCAGGCTCCCCGTGAGTGGCACGACACTCTCCGTGCTACGCTTGCTGACCTGCAGTTCTTTCCCTCTTCCGCAGACCCCTCACTCTTCGTTCGTGCTGGCCAGACTCCGTTCTACATCCTTGTTTACGTTGACGACCTGGTCTTTGCCACAGCAGACAGGGACGCACAGGCCTCCGTGAAGGCAGAGCTGCTGAAGAGACACACGTGCACTGACCTTGGAGAACTGCGCCGTTACCTTGGCTTGCAGATCTCTAGGGACAGAGCAGCGCGCACCATCATCATGACTCAGTCACACTTGGTGCGCCAGGTCCTTCAGAGGTTCAGCCTTCTGTTCTCCTCTGCACAGCCCACCCCTCTTCTTGTAGACCACAGACTCTCCGCTCCAGTGTCTGAGGAGTCGGTTGAGCCCAGCGGCCCCTACGCAGAGCTGGTGGGTTGCCTCATGTACCTGATGACTTGCACTCGCCCAGATCTCGCATACCCTCTCAGCATCCTGGCTCGCTTTGTGGCCACAGGCAGACACCGACCGCAGCACTGGTCTGTCGCTAAGAGGGTTTTGCGTTATCTTGCTAGTACATCGGGCATGGGGTTAGTGGTAGGAGGACGCACGCCAGTAGTCCTTACTGGACACACCGACGCTTCGTGGGCAGACGACGCCGAGACACTCAGGTCTACCCAGGGCTACTGCTTCAGCCTTGGCTCAGGTGCCGTCTCGTGGAGAGCTACCCGCTCCTCGTCTGTTGCCCAGTCCAGCAGTGAGGCCGAGATCTACGCTGGTGCCATGGCGGCACAGGAGCTCCGCTGGCTGACCTTCTTGCTCACTGACTTAGGTGAGCGGCCTAGCTCTGCCCCGGTCCTGTTCGCTGACAACAGGGCCATGATCCTCCTGTGTCAGGAGCCTCGACTCGAGGGCAGAGCGAAGCATATTCAGCTGCGATACTTCCTCCTGCGCGAGCTACAGCAGCGACGCCAGGCTCGCGTAGTACACTTGGCCTCAGGTGCCAACACAGCTGATATCTTTACGAAGGCGCTTGCGCCTAAAGATCATTAGCGGCACTGCGTACAGCTTGGTCTTGTCCCTGTAGCCTCTCACTTGCTAGGGCCTTGACTTTGTACTGCCCTATGTATACTCAGACTGGACTTGTGTCCTCTACCAGTGGCTGGACTAGTAGTGCCGCCCTGATCCTGTTCTTGCCTTGTTTGTACTCCTTCTGACTGGTCTTTTAGACCCTTGTCTCAGAGGTTGGACTAGTAGTGCCGCCCTGAGCTGCTTGTTCAGGACATTCCCCTATGCAGTCTAGGGGGTGTGTCAAACATGTGTATTAGTTATGTTTGCATAGACTGTATAGGGTCACCTCTTAGAGGGTACAATACATAGGTATATCTATCTGTACTCTCACACTACTCATTAATCACTTCTCTCATTCTGATAAATACTACCGTAATCCCCCGGATATAACACCTGCCAAAATTAAGCACCCCCTGGTGTTATATCCGGGGAGGGTGTTCTATTGAAGAATCCGCAATTATATACCCTCTTTTTGAGGGTTCCAGGCAGTGCTGATCTTAGGATTTTCACAACTCTGAAATCTGGAAGTTACTTTCCCCACTACTCTGAAAACCAGAGTGATCCTCCACACTTACCCTGAGGCATCAGGGTAACCCTACGTTTTGGAGTTTTTTACTCTGACAAGTCAGGGTGCCTTTATTTCACCCTCTTAACAGTGTGTGTTATTAGACACCGTGGATCTAGGGGGGTATGTGCTCTTGCAATAAATATAGTGTTATATTCCTTCATTCACTCATCAGCATCATCAGCATCATGCCATACACACTAGTAGCACAGGACTCTAAAAGGCTAGTAACATGTTGAACTTAGTTTGAATTTTAGAGGTTGTGTAGCCGAATCGGAAGGGATGTTCCTCTATCCGATACGGGTATTCTCCGAGTCAAGCAGATTTGTTGTGCGCCCGTTGTCGTGGTCTTCGATGCTCGGCTGGGCTCCCTTGATTTTCCCGCTTCCCATCCGTTGCTCCACTCACAAATACTGTAGGTGACCTCTGTTCACTGTGGACCTGAAGGCGCAGGAGCCAGGGAGCCAGGCTCCACTAATACGAATCCCCGCCATTCCATGTCGTCCGTTGGGCTCTAATCTGCTCCGTACCAGTTCAAATTGTTGACATTCGTAACTGCGGCAGCTGCAGAAACTTGTCACCTGTAGTAGCAACTGATGCAATCTCACCCTACGCTGCCGCCGCAGCAAGCAACAGGAACTCGTTACCCACAGCAGCAACAGCGGTGGTGGCGATCCTGTCACACACACAAATAAGCAACGTGAGCAACAATCGTATCACTGGTTGCGTTAGCAGTGACGGCAAACTCATCTCGTCACATCTAGCAACATGAGTGAAAATCGCGGCACTCGCAACTAACAACAGCAGTCTACGCGGAAATTCGGTCACTTAGCAGCAGCAGCTACGATCCCACTATGCACAGCAGTAGCAGCGGCGATCATCCCATGGGCGGCAGCAGCCAACAGAATTGGCGTCACTCGTAGTAGCGGCAGTAGTGGCGGAAATGGCGGCCACTCGTAGCATGTGATGTGGTGTGGTATGTTCTGCTAGTATGCTAGCACGGTTGTTAGGGCATGGCACTTAGCGAGCACCAGGAGCCTGGATTCTTCCCACCACTGACGCCATCATCGAGATCAACCGCGCTAGGCATGGCGGACCCTGGTAATGAGAGAGGGCGTTTGCTGAAAAAACGACTAAGGTGAGGAACGAAGATACGTGAATGCTGTGAGAGAGGCTAAAGTGGGGGAGTGGGGCTAGAGAGGGCTTGGAAAAAGGGAGGCGTGAGGAAAACATGTGTCCAATAGGGATCATGGAATCTGCCAGCAAGGGCGAGACATGCATCATGTGACGTGGGCCAGCTGGGCGGTCTGCGTGAATACGGCGGGGATATGGGGCCACGTATGTAGACAGGGGGGTACACGAAAATCCGGGGGTATATGACGTGGGGCCAGCTCGGCGGTCCGCGTGAACAAGGGGGCATGTATGGACAGGGGGGTACAAGAAAATCCGGGGGTATCCCCCTTACAGTAAACCCCTCAGGGTGGTACAAAAGAAAACCCTGGCTTATCAGAGAAAATGTATAATCTCAAAATTTTACCCAGAGGCGTAAGGGTGGTACATGAAATCAACTCTGAAAATCAGAGAATCAGAGTAATTTACTCGTGAAAAATAGGCACTGGTTCCAGGAGAGCACCCCCCCCATTACATTCAAACCCTTCTACGCCTAACAATACCACCAACAAATGCAGTTTTTTCACGCTATTTCATGCTGATTACGATCAGGACGCAAAAGTTGAAATTTTCCGAGGCACTTGACAGGATTCTCTGGTACTGAAAATGACAAAGTGAAACAAATATTCACCTGGAAAAGCGCAGTGGGCCGACAATTTTTTTTTCTTTTGTGCGACAGACCTGTGCTGATTGGCTGATGAGCGTCGCAATTTTCGTCCAGTCCATTGCGAGTGTCGCCAAACCCCCAATCTTGCTTCACTAACCTGACACAAACATGAAATTCGTGAGCAATGGGCAATCCAGGGCTATTCCGAACCTCGAGAAAACATACGCCTTTTCAGCCGGAATTTGAATGTCTAAAATCGCCATGATGCACTGAGTCTAATGCACATCTTAAAAATTCTGTCCTCAAATATAACACCAGGTTGCTATAGCCTAAACGCGAAATAGAGCACCCACCCCCCTGATTTTGCATGAATTTTGTACTATACCCGGGGTGTTATATCCGGGGGATTACGGTAGCTGTTACTGGAACTGCAGACAACGCGTCCACTCACTTTGACCTCGAGCCCTCGAACTGCTCATCAATCGCTACAACTCATCATCGTGAAGCGGCTCGTCATGGAACTGCTCATCAAACGCCTCGTCCTCCCCATCCCCTTCCATCCCATCGTAACCCATCTCCTCTTCCTCCGCCCTCTCCGTTCTCCCCTCATCCATCTCACCATCGTCCATTTGTCCCTCCTCCTCTCCTATTTCCTCCTCTTGGTCGTCCTCAGGCGAGGGCTCGAGGTCAAAGTGAGTGGACGCGTTGTCTCTGATGGCCTGGACGAACTGCTTGACTTTCCTCGCTTGGACCTTCACCTGTGGACGCATGTGGTGCGCACACGCACGTGGCACAGAGGCATGGCAGGGGAGAAAAGAGTCGGACTGAAATGCTCGAGATCAAACGTGGTGGAGGCATGACCCCAGATGGCCTGGATGACAGCTTGGCGGTCCTCGCTTGACCCTCCACCTGTAGACTGGTTGATGAGCGCAGAGGGCATTTGGGGGGGGAGGGGGGCAGAGATAAGGCAGGGCAGGAGAGGGGACATAATGAGGCTCGAGGTCAAATGCGGTGGAGGCTTTGCCCCTGATAGCCTGGACGAGCTGATTGAGGGCTCTGGCTTGAACCTTCACCTGGTGACAGTAAGACGTGAGGAGGCATGAGCACACGCAATCTGGTGATGGTGGTGGTGACATTGCGTTTGATGAAGTGAGCGCGTGCCAATCTGTGCTCCAGGCAGCATAGACTGCCTAGACACATGTGAGTCACCTAACACCGGGCCTGTTGTCACACAAAATGTACCACGTCCTCACACACACACACACACACACACAGACACACACACACACACACACACACACACACACATAGACACACACACACATACAGACACACACACACACACACACACCACACACACACACACACACACACACACACACACACACACACACACCCACCCAGCATAACTGGCGCATCCAGTCAAGACGGGGAGGTGACACGAGCCCAGACAGCACATGGCGGACATGCCACTGGGATCTCACCGGGTCTGCCTTCTTCCCGGCTGGGTAGAACACGATGGTGGGGAAGCCCTCCACCTGCACGCACGGGCACACACAAAACGGGGGGAATTCATTCACCTGCAGGGCCTGCCGCCCTCCCTGCAGGCCACAACACGATGGTGGGGACGCCCTCCACCTGCAGGGCAGGGGAAAAGAGGATACAAACATTGAGATACACTTTCTATGTTTTGGGGCCAGGAAAAAAAGGCAAGGGCGCGAATGTAAATTGACAGGATAAGAACAGGGAAGGGGCATGAGAGAAGGGGAAAGGGGGCACAAGAGGAGGGGGAAGGGTGCATGAGAGGAGGGGAAGTGGAATAAAAGGAAGGGGGAGGAAGATGAGAGGAAAGGGAGGGAGAAGGGACAGGAGATGAGCGAGGGTCATTGAGAGGAGGGGCAGGGGCGTGAGAGGATGAACACCGTGAGAGGAGGGCGGGAGCATGGGCGGAGGGGAGGTGACGTGCCTCGAGGCCGGGGTATTCATTGGCAGTGCCGTCCATCTTGGCAATCACCACGGACTGCACCACGCTGAACCGCTCTGCCAGCCTCTTGTAGGTCGGCTCCAGCTGCTGGCAGTGGCCGCACCAGGGGGCGTAGACCTGGTGGGTCATAGGGGTAACAGGGAGTGGTGATGTAACAAGTGCGAGGCATGTGAGACATGCACAGGTAGGGCAGCTGTGCACCTCGAGCTGCTGACAGTGGCCACACCAGGGGCGTAGAACTGGTGTGGTGTGTTGCAAAGGAGAGACATGAGGGATGCAGGGGAGAGAGAGGTCACGCTAGGAGAGCCATACACCTCCAACTGCTGGCAGTGGCTGCACCAGGGGGGGGGGCGGCTGGTGGCTTCGAGTTGAGTGGGAAGGATGATGTCGGTGCACGCGAGTGAACGAGTGAAGAGGTGGGAAGAATGGGAAGAATGGGAAGGACGAGTTATGCAACAGATGCAACGCTGAAGGAGCAACACGTGTGATGGATGGCAAACTGATGAAGGGCTCACGTTGAACGACATGGTGCTTCAGAGGTGTGTAGTCGTCATAATATCCCATGCCATGCAATGCATGCAACATGCAATGCAACGCATACAACATGCAATGCAACGCATACAACATGCAATGCAATGCAAGCAACATGCAATGCAACGCATGCAACATGCAATGCAACGCATGCAACATGCAATGCAGCGCATGCAACATGCAATGCAACGCATGCAACATGCAATGCAACGCATACAACATGCAATGCAACGCATACAACATGCAATGCAACGCATGCATAGCAGCAATGCAAGCAACGCATACCACATGCAGCACAGTGCATACCACATGCAGCACAGTGCATACCCCATGCAGCACAGCACATACCACATGCAGCACAGTGCATACCACATGCAGCACAGCGCATACCACATGCAGCACAGCGCATACCACATGCAGCACAGCGCATACCCCATGCAGCACAGCGCATATCCCATGCAGCACAGCGCATACCACATGCAGCACAGCGCATACCACATGCAGCACAGCGCATACCCCATGCAGCACAGCGCATACCACATGCAGCACAGCGCATACCCCATGCAGCACAGCGCATACCACATGCAGCACAGCGCATACCACATGCAGCACAGCGCATACCACATGCAGCACAGCGCATACCACATGCAGCACAGCGCATACCACATGCTACGCTGCGCATACCCCATGCTACGCTGCGCATACCCCATGCTACGCTGCGCATACCCCATGCTACGCTGCGCATACCTCCAGCAGCACGTCTCTGGTATCGTCCAACACAATCTGCTCAAACGAGTCGCCCACCACCACTGTCACCGGGCCGTCATTCTGCCAGACGTGTGAAAGGGGAGGTACAAAGTACGGGCGAGGGGGGGGGGAGGAGGGAGGGGGTGGGTGGAGGTGAGGAAGAGTTTCGAGAGGTCAGCCAAACGTGTCTCCAAGCACCACGCACACAGTGTCGTCATTCTGCCAGGCGTGCTAGAGCGAGACACAGAGGAGGGGAAGGGAGGAGAGGGGGAAAGAGGGGGGGAGTGGGGGGGGGGAGACGGCGGGAGGAAAGGGAGGGGATGGGTGAAGGTGGGGAAGAGATCAGAGGCATGTCAATCGAGCCTCCCACACCCACAGTCACCAGGCCGTCATTCTGCCCGGCAGCGTCAGTAGAGGTGCCCGGGGGAGAAGGGGCAGGAGGGCTGCCGCACCATACCTCCAGCAGCACGTCTCTGGAGATAAGTGCCGTACCTATCGATCTATGTGGGAGTATTGATTCACCTCAATGCCAGCACCAGTCACTCGCCGTTTCCATGGACGACATGAGCGAGCGAGAGGAGGCGCAGGGGAGGAGGAGATGGAAGCGAGAGAGGCAGGCAGGTAGGCAGTACGAAAGCACAGAGTGCTGGTGATGGAAGACAAGCAAGGACGAAGCAGACGGGCCCTGTGTTGTGGTCGCTTTGCATACTCGGAAATATCGGCGTCCTCACCTCCTCTGGCAGGGGCTGTGACTTGAAAAAGGGCTTGAGACGGCCATCAATGAAGCTCTGAGTGAAGGCCTGGGAGGGCGGGAGAATGAGGAGAGAGTAAGGGAGGGACGGGAGTAAGGGAGTTTAGAGGTTAGACAGGTATGGCATTCAGTGGTGAATGCGTTGCAGCCAAAAGCAGCATAGTTGAAATAATCGCTCACCTTGATGTTATCGGCCATGGGATGAACTGCCATGCGGCACTTGAGCCTTGCTGCAGGCACTGAGGAACCCGTTGAACCCGTGACACCAGCAGCAGGCACTAGCTGTGCTGCTGGAGAACTCGAATCACAACACACCTTGATGCTATGGTATCTGCTGTGGCATGGCCTGCAACGAGGCACTAGAGCCCGGCTGCAGGAAATGAGGGGTCGCTGCCACCTCCCATGATAAATCCACAAGCTAAGCAGTGCGCCCTTTGTTGGAACCATGTCGCACCTTGATGTTGTCAGCTGTGGGGTAGTCACTCATGCGGTACTTGAGGCCTGCTGCCGGGACAGCGGGGTCCTCGCCACCCCCCATAATGAACCCCACGATCTGCAGACACACAGCACAATCGCATGGAGGGTTAACGTGCGCAGCCAAATGCCGTACTGAATTCAGCAGCGCTGAGGGGCCCTCCCCTCCCCCATGATCTCCGCACACGCAGCACGAATGCGCAGAGGAATAATGCACAAACATTGTGGTGCATGTGGAATGGAGCATGCATGTGGGACAGAGCACGAATGTGGGATGGGATATGCAGGACAACCCTTGAGGTAAGCAGGATAAGTGCAGTGGAAAAACTACGAACGCGGTGTCAAAAGAGTGGAGCAAATATTACACAGCGAATGTGTGAGCTGGAGTAGGAAAGGCAGCATGAGCGGCAGCATGTGGGGCAGCATGTGAGGCATCATGCAGGAAGCATGTGGGGAAGCATGTGGGGCAGCAGGTGGGGCAGCATGTGGGGCAGCATGTGGGGCAGCATGTGGGGCAGCATGTGGGGCAGCATGTGGGACTGCATGTGGGCAGCATGTGGGGCAGCATGTGGAGCAGCATGTGGGGCAGCATGAGCGGCAGCATGTGGGACTGCATGTGGGCAGCATGTAGGGCAGCATGTGGAGCAGCATGTGGGGCAGCATGAGCGGCAGCATGTGGGACTGCATGTGGGCAGCATGTGGGGCAGCATGTGGGGCAGCATGTGAGGCAGCATGTGGGGCAGCGTGTGGGGCAGCATGAGCGGCAGCATGTGGGGCAGCATGTGGGGCAGCATGTGGGGCAGCATGAGCGGCAGCATGTGGGACATAGGCATGAGCACGGGGCGAGGCGAGGATTCCTTGACCCGAGGATCTCCTCCTCGCGCCCCAGCCGAGGCGGGTCGAGGAATCCTCGCCGAGGATTTTTATAAAAAATCCCTCCTCGACCCCCGGGTTTTAGGGGCGAGGATTGGAATCCTCGCCTCGAGGAAAAAATCCTCGACCCGAGGCGAGGATTCCTTGACATGAGTGGGGGTGGGGGTGGGGGTGGGGATTCCCTGAACTCTGCCTTTGTTATTTCGAAAGTGCTCTTTCCGTTCTACTCCCCAGGGGTTATAGGCACCCTTGCCTCAGGTTTCCGAATTAGACCCTCTCAAGAGAGGGTTGCGAAAATCGTTACCGGCCCCTGGGCTGCGAATTTCGAAATTGACCCCTCAGCAGCAGGGTCTTGCAAAATTCGTAGGTGACCCCTCAAGAGGGGGTCGCGAAATTCGCAATTAACATCTCGCCAGTAGGGGTTGCGAATTTCGCAACCCAACACCTCGCCAGTAGGGGTTGCGAATTTCGCAATCAAACACTCTGGATGGGGTTGCAGAAAACCAGATCTGGTTTTCCGACTACGTTCCTGACCCCCCTCAGTGCTAGTCGCGCGGCGGCAGGTTAAGTATACCCCACTCCAAGGCCTTCGTTTTAGCTGTTCTAAATGGTAGCATCAGGCGAAATGGGGGCAGCTATCCCCTAGCTAACCCTAATACGAAAGCTGATTCAGAAGTAATGAATGAGCCAAAGTCAGGAAGATTCAGTTTGTACCGCACAAAAGTGACGCGAGGAAAAAATCCTCGCGAGGAAACAATCCTCGCCCCTAAAGTGCCGAGGAATTGTCGAGTCCTCGAATCCTCGCGGGGCGGGGCGAGGATTCCTCGCGAGGATTTTTCCCAGAAATCCTGCCTCGACACCCGCAATTTCGAGGCGAGGATTTCCGAGGTGAGGAAATCCTCGCCTCATTGCTCATGTATAGTGGGACAGCATGTGGGGCAGCAAGTGGGGCAACATGGGGGCAGAATGTGGGGCAGTATGTGGGGTGCCATGTGGGGAAGCATGTGGGTGGGCTTGAGCAACGGGTCGGGTCGGGTCGGGAAACCCAACCCGAACCCGACTTTTTGACGGGTCGGGTCGACATTTGAGGAAGGTTGACCCGACCCTCGGGTACCCGACCCGACCCGACCCGACCCGACCGACAAAACCCGACCCGTCGGGTCGGCGTATTACCCAACCCTGCCCCTATCCCAACCCGACCCCACCAGACCCGATCTCGAGTTAGGTAGAACCCGACCTATTAAACACGGGTCGGGTTGACATTTCCTGAACTCCGACCCGACTTGACCCGACCCGACCCGACCCGAACCCGACATCGGGTAGGGCACAGTCGGGTCGGGTCGGGTCGGGTCGGGTTCATGCTCAAGCCTACATGTGGGCCAGCATGTGGGCCAGCATGAGGGCCAGCATGAGCGGCAGAATGTGGGACAGCATGTGGGGCAGCATGGGGGCAGCATGGGGGCAGCATGTGGGGCAGCATGTGGGACAGCATGTGGAGCAGCATGTTGGGCGACATGGGAACAGCATCTGGGGCAGCATGTGGGGCAGCATGTGGGACAGCATGTGGGGCAGCTTGTGGGGCTGCATGTGGGGTAGCATGTGGGGCAGCATGTAGGGTAGCATGTGGGGCAGCACGTGGGACAGCATGTGGGGCAGCGTCTGGGGGAGCATGTGGGGCAGCATGGGGGCAGCATGGGGGCAGCATTGGGGCAGCATGTGGGGCAGCAGGTGGGACAGCATGTGGAGCAGCATGTGGGGCAGCATGGGGACAGCATGTGGGGCAAAATGTGGGGCAGCATGTGGGATAGCATGTGGGCCAGCATGTGGGGCAGCATGTGGGATAGCATGTGGGACAGCATGTGGGGCAGCATGTGGGGCAGCATGTGGGGCAGCATGTGGGGCAGTATGTGGGGCAGTATGTGGGGCAGCATGTGGGGCAGCATGTGGGGCAACAAGTGGGGCAGCATGTGGGGCAGCATGTGGGGCAGCATGTGGGGCAGCATGTGGGGCAGCATGGGGGCAGCATGGGGGCAGCATGTGGGGCAGCATGTGGGGTAGCATGTGGAGAAGCATGTTGGGCGACATGGGAACAGCATGTGGGGCAGCATGTGGGGCAGCATGTGGGGCAGCATGTGGGACAGCATGTGGGGCAGCTTGTGGGGCTGCATGTGGGGTAGCATGTGGGGCAGCATGTAGGGTAGCATGTGGGGCAGCATGTGGGATAGCATGTGGGGCAGCATGTGGGGCAGCATGTGGGGCAGCATGTGGGGCAGCATGTGGGATAGCATGTGGGGCAGTATGTGGGGCAGCATGTGGGGCAGCATGTGGGCCAGTATGTGGGGCAACATGTGGGGAAGCATGTGGGGCAGCATGTGGGGCAGCATGTGGGGCAGCATGTGGGGCAGCATGTGGGGCAGCATGTGGGGCAGCATGTGGGGCAGCATGTGGGGCAGCATGTGGGGCAGCACGTGGGGTAGCATGTGGCCCAGCATGTGGGACAGCATGTGGGGCAGCATGTGGGGCAGCATGTGGGCCAGTATGTGGGGCAGCATGTGGGGCAGCATGTGGGGAAGCATGTGGGGCAGCATGTGGGGCAGCATGTGGGGCAGCATGTGGGGCAGCATGTGGGGCAGTATGTTGGGCAGTATGTGGGGCAGCATGTGCGGCAGCATGTGGGGCAGCATGTAGGGCAACATGTGGGGCAGCATGTGGGTCAGCATGTGGGGCAGCATGTGGGGAAGAAAGTGGGGCAGCATGTGGGGCAGCATGTGGGCCAGTATGTGGGGCAGCATGTGGGGCAGCATGTGGGGCAGTATGTTGGGCAGTATGTGGGGCAGCATGTGGGGCAGCATGTGGGGCAGCATGTAGGGCAACATGTGGGGCAGTATGTGGGGCAGCATGTGGGGAAGCATGTGGGGCAGCATGTGGGGCAGCATGTGGGGTAGCATGTGGGGCAGCACGTGGGACAGCATGGGGGGCAGCGTGTGGGGCAGCATGTGGGACAGCATGGGGGCAGCATTGGGGCAGCATGTGGGGCAGCAGGTGGGACAGCATATGGAGCAGCATGAGGGGCAGCATGGGGGCAGCATGTGGGGCAGCATGTGGGGTAGCATGTGGGGCAGCACGTGGGACAGCATGTGCGGCAGCGTGTGGGGCAGCATGTGGGGCAGCATGGGGGCAGCATTGTGGCAGCATGTGGGGCAGCAGGTGGGACAGCATGTGGAGCAGCATGTGGGGCAGCATGGGGACAGCATGTGGGGCAAAATGTGGGGCAGCATGTGGGACAGCATGTGGGCCAGCATGTGGGGCAGCATGTGGGGCAGCATGTGGGGCAGTATGTGGGGCGGTATGTGGGGCAGTATGTGGGGCAGCATGTGGGGCAGCATGTGGGGCAGCATGTCGGCAGCATGGGGCCAGCATGGGGGCAGCATGTGGGGCAGCATGTGGGACAGCATGTCGGCAGCATGTGGGGCAGCATGTGGGGCAGCATGTGGGGCAGCATGTAGGGCAGCGTCTGGGGGAGCATGTGGGGCAGCATGGGGGCAGCATGGGGGCAGCATTGGGGCAGCATGTGGGGCAGCAGGTGGGACAGCATGTGGAGCAGCATGTGGGGCAGCATGGGGACAGCATGTGGGGCAAAATGTGGGGCAGCATGTGGGATAGAATGTGGGCCAGCATGTGGGGCAGCATGTGGGGCAGCATGTGGGGCAGTATGTGGGGCAGTATGTGGGGCAGCATGTGGGGCAGCATGTGGGGCAACAAGTGGGGCAGCATGTGGGGCAGCATGTGGGGCAGCATGTGGGGCAGCATGTGGGGCAGCATGGGGGCAGCATGGGGCAGCATGTGGGGCAGCATGTGGGGTAGCATGTGGAGCAGCATGTTGGGCGACATGGGAACAGCATGTGGGGCAGCATGTGGGGCAGCATGTGGGACAGCATGTGGGGCAGCTTGTGGGGCTGCATGTGGGGTAGCATGTGGGGCAGCATGTAGGGTAGCATGTGGGGCAGCACGTGGGACAGCATGTGGGGCAGCGTCTGGGGGAGCATGTGGGGCAGCATGGGGTCAGCATGGGGGCAGCATTGGGGCAGCATGTGGGGCAGCAGGTGGGACAGCATGTGGAGCAGCATGTGGGGCAGCATGGGGACAGCATGTGGGGCAAAATGTGGGGCAGCATGTGGGATAGCATGTGGGACAGCATGTGGGGCAGCATGTGGGGCAGCATGTGGGGCAGCATGTGGGGCAGTATGTGGGGCAGTATGTGGGGCAGCATGTGGGGCAGCATGTGGGGCAACAAGTGGGGCAGCATGTGGGGCAGCATGTGGGGCAGCATGTGGGGCAGCATGGGGGCAGCATGGGGGCAGCATGTGGGGCAGCATGTGGGGTAGCATGTGGAGCAGCATGTTGGGCGACATGGGAACAGCATGTGGGGCAGCATGTGGGGCAGCATGTGCGACAGCATGTGGGGCAGCTTGTGGGGCTGCATGTGGGGTAGCATGTGGGGCAGCATGTAGGGTAGCATGTGGGGCAGCATGTGGGATAGCATGTGGGGCAGCATGTGGGGCAGCATGTGGGGCAGCATGTGGGGCAGCATGTGGGATAGCATGTGGGGCAGTATGTGGGGCAGCATGTGGGGCAGCATGTGGGCCAGTATGTGGGGCAACATGTGGGGCAGCATGTGGGGCAGCATGTGGGGCAGCATGTGGGGCAGCATGTGGGGCAGCATGTGGGGCAGCATGTGGGGCAGCATGTGGGGCAGCATGTGGGGCAGCATGTGGGGCAGCACGTGGGGTAGCATGTGGCCCAGCATGTGGGACAGCATGTGGGGCAGCATGTGGGGCAGCATGTGGGCCAGTATGTGGGGCAGCATGTGGGGCAGCATGTGGGGCAGCATGTGGGGCAGCATGTGGGGCAGCATGTGGGGCAGCATGTGGGGCAGCATGTGGGGCAGCATGTGGGGCAGCACGTGGGGTAGCATGTGGCCCAGCATGTGGGACAGCATGTGGGGCAGCATGTGGGCCAGCATGTGGGCCAGTATGTGGGGCAGCATGTGGGGCAGCATGTGGGGCAGCATGTGGGGGCAGCATGTGGGGCAGCATGTGGGGCAGCATGTGGGGCAGCATGTGGGGCAGCATGTGGGGCAGCATGTGGGGCAGCATGTGGGGGGGGGCAGCATGTGGGGCAGCATGTGGGGCAGCATGTGGGGCAGCATGTGGGGCAGCACGTGGGGTAGCATGTGGCCCAGCATGTGGGACAGCATGTGGGGCAG